CCCAAGCACTCATTTGAGCCCACTTGTAATGCATTCTGCACAGGGTCCTCTAATGCATCTGTGTGGCAGAAAGGCAACTGCCACGCATTAACTCAGTGAACTATACTGAAAAACTATCAAAAAGCTACCTAAGAACAGTGGGCAGGAATTGCTGTTAAGTCCCCTCAGACCAGTTCATTAAGACCAGTGTTTTACATTTCATAGCATTGCTTAATTGAACACACTTCAGATCTACAGGACTAAAGGCATCTTCTTCCATGCCTTAAATTGTTAACATTTAAGCAAACAATAACAAAAAAATAAACCGTGCCAATGCCATCCAGACCCCCTCCTCGGTGCGGGAGCCGTGTCACAGCCCCCCCCCGCCCCGGGACTGCCCTTCCTCTGCTTCTCTGGACACCATTTCTCGCGCCCTCCAGTCCCTTTTAGTCTCTTGCGGTTAGTTTCCACGTGCGTTGAGCAATAAAATTCTCCCAACATTTATAGGCAGAAGCACGTTTGCCAATAAAAAGAGAAAATCGCACTTTGAGGCATACTCACGGGAGCGCGCCGCGGCCGCCGCCCCGCCCGCACGGCGGCAGTTAACGGCCGTTGGGCGCCGGGTAACGGTCGCCGAGGGAAGCTTCCAGAACCGCCCCCCCCCCCGGCTCCGCTGCCGCAGTTAGACGGCGCATTTATTTAAATAACTCAACGCATTTATTGAAAATAATTAAAAATGAGTAAATAAAAATGCCACACAAAGACATTTTACCAACCACTTGCAGCTTTTATTTTACACCGCAGTGTTCTCCACACCAGCAACGTTTGACAGCAGCCAATGCCAAGTGCTCAACTCAGGGAGAAAACGCGCATGGCTAGTGGCACAGGCAGGCAGGGGGCATTTGAAGGGGGTCAAAACATCAGCGGAATTAAAGTGCAAAGCTTTGAAAGCAGAGTGGGAAGGAAAATAAATGAAAAAAACAGCAGTGGCATTTGCTGTTTGCATGAGCAGTGCGAGGCGGTGTTTTTGTCACTCAGCGAGTGTTGGTGCTGCAGCAGCCATCCCATTTGCATCACCACACTAGGCCATTACGGAAGCACAAATGCATAGGAGAGGGCACGCTAATGTCTGCCCTTGAAATAAATCACCTTTGGGACACCTACACGAATGCCCCCAGCCCGGGGCAACTTGAGGAATCCACAACACAAACCAGTGTGTCCAAGACACCGAAGAGGCTGGAGGCAGGGCAGAGGGCCAGCACTCCCCTCTATGCGTCTTTCCCATCGGGCTCAGAAAAGTCTGAAGCTGATGTGTCCACAAGGCCTGATGTGCTCTGACACCACAGAAGACAGAGCAGGAGAGATTCCCCTTCCAAACCAAGACGCTCGGCTTACGGAAAAGGTCGTAGAACAAGGCGGGAAGTTAAGCTATGGGATCCAGCCAAACTGAGTGCAACAGTTTGTTAGGCAAGCGGAAAAAGCAGAAGCAGGAGATTAAGAGGAAAAACAACAAAGCATGATGGAAAAGAAAATAAGTTACAGGATCCCAGTAGTATGTAGGAACATATTGTCATGGTCTGTCCCCCAGCAATCAGGGCCGGGTCAGACCCTGGGCTGGCTACAAGCAGAGGCACTTCCCAAGAGACTGGTTTGCAGACCACGGCAGGCATTTTGCTTCCTAGCAAGCAAACACGAGCGAGCAAGCACAGTGCTGGATGGGGCCTGCTGCACATCCTTATGAAATTGCAGGTTTTGTCCATAACTTACAGCTCACAAAGAGGCTGCAGGATCCAGGCACCATCCTGGTGGATCCTGTGGCAGCTTCTCCTAGGATTTTAATGCTTGGAGTGCTTCCATAATCAACAACATAGCAGCAATGTCCCTGGCAAACCTGCCAAATCACCACAGACCTCCTGTCCCTCAAGCCACTTGCACTTGAGCGTGAGGATATTCACATGCCCTCATTTTGAAAGGACTATACAAGTGTTATTTCTTTAAAAACACAGAGAGAGAAGAACCCTCCTCAAGCACAAGTACTTCCAAGCCCGGGGCTGAAGCCAGGATTGGCACAACCATAGGGGTAGAGCAGGTAGCAGGAGCCACCCCTAGGGCACCGGGTAGAGGAGCCTAGACCTGGGAAGCAGGTGAAATGGGGGCTCCCAGCTGAACACAGGTTAATTGTGTGATTAAAGAGCACCTCCCTCTGCAGCTGGTTTTTACTGAAAGCAGCCAGAACTGTACAGCAAGTGACCTGATCCACCTGGCTGTGTTCAATAATCTCAGAGTGGCTCTGACATGGCCAGTGGAGAGTTTGGGCAAGTTCAGGCAGAATATAAATTTCAAGTAATTCAGACTAAAACGGCTCTGGCTAAATGCAGAGGCAGAATTCAGCTTAAAATCTAACAGAGAGTCACCTACTGTCTTTAGGCACATGCAAGTGAGATACAAACCTAGAGGGAAGGGATCTGTCTGGACTGAAATTCTGGACTCAGATGCCTCAAATATGCTTTATGGTTTTAAGTGATTTATTTTGATATAGATGCAGTGGGAAACACCAGCCCCAATGTGTCTGATAAGAGAAAGATTCACTAGCCTGCAGTGATCATGTATGCTCCTAAATGGAATTCTGAATGTGCCTTATTTTCTAAAAGGAAGATATAGAAAAGTACTGTCTTCTCTTTTTTATTTTTTAGTCATTCATTTGTTGTTTCTCCTACTGGCAATGTACCTCAAGATTAACAGATCATCATTAGTGATTAGCATTCATATTCTCAATTAAGCATATCTGGTCATTTTGAGGTGTGCACAGATGACTAACTTAGGGGCTATGTGAAATTGCTAAATGACATTGGGAGGAAATTCCATTAGATGGGAGGGAAGAAATGCTACTTTGTTATTAAATCTCTGAAATACACTCCTATTTTTTCCCCACAGAGAATAATATAGTGTTCAATTTTCCAGTTATAACAATATACAAACACTGGATTACTGGATAAAGAAAACTGAATATTTTGACTATTTTACAAGGGACCTCCATATTAGGAGATAAATTAGGTACAATGCTTGATTTATAGCCTCTGTATGAACAGGTTAAAAAAATCTGCATCATCAAAAGGTCATCAAAATAGAGAGAGATCTTATCAATGTTCATTATATACAATAGTTAATTTATTTTACCTAGATATCAAGATAACTGCTGTACAGTAGCAAAAAAATTGTATTTTAGGGCATGGGTTGTACTACTCGAAAGCTCTAAGGAAAGGCATTCACATTTGTAACATCTCAAATCCTACTCTTCTATAAGTCTGTCTCTACAGGACATCAATCACAAAATGAGAGGAACTGTAAGCTATTTTCTAGTAACACACTGCCAATCGAAAGACAAATGTCAGATGTCACAAAATGAGAAGTAACCATTTTTCAACTTGTGAATGTCTTCAGATATATTACAATTAAACTGCGAAAAAAATGACCCTTTCAGCTTCATTTGTTCTGACAGATGCCAAATGTTGTAGTTTGGCATTTTATCTTCATACTGCAATAATCTTTATGAAACTTAACCAAAGCTGAGGGCAGCGGCATTAGTCTATAATCATTCTCTTTACTGTATAATACATAAAATTTCAAACAGTCTAGCCATTATAGAAAATAGATTACTACTATTTCTATCTGTGTTAAGGACAAGACAAGAGGATAAAGGTGGTACTTCTGCATCTGATATTAATATATTTTGGGTGTTACTGTTTCTTGTGGCCTCAGCTTGACTTCTACATCATGCAGCCTTGCTTGGTATGATTGCTACCACATGAAAAAAAGTATGCTACTTAAAACTAAAAATCAAGAATGTAAACTCCAAACCTTTACTGAATTCACTCGATATTATGTATACATTTAGTCCATAGCATCAAATGGATGTAAAGATTCTAAATCCTCTGCACTGAAAATGCACTTCTTAGAAAATCATTTTTAAAGCCTTGACTAAACAGCCCTGAAGTGCCAGCATATTCAGGTCCTTTCAATTATCCTCATGTCTCTACTTAGGACCCCCCCAAGTGTGATTATGGAAAGTCACGGTTTATTTCTTTAAAAGAAAATACTCTATATAACTCCTTCAAAAAAGCTATAATGGTATAGTCCTACATTCTTGACAAAATATCCTGTTGCATAATACAGTTCTAATTTCTAGACAATTATACTGTTACCTAAGGAAAAAATAAATAAATAAAAATAGAAAGAGCATACACAAATCTACTTTAAATGCTATTGCAGGTCCAAATAGGATAGTAAACAGCCAAAACCAAACGAAAATAAAGCTCAATCCTAGAATCCTGAAGCCTGAAATCAGTGACTGATTTCACTGGACTCTTAGTTCACTGGAACTCTTAGGCCTTTACACTGCAAAGAGGCTCTTACAGAGCTCTTTGCAGAAGCAGAGCTCTTTGAAGACAAAAACAGCACTTGACTTACCAAATAAAGTTAATTTTTCTGTGAGTAAGTGCAGGCTTATTGGCTCTCTGAAAGCAAAATGGGTAAACAGCTTTAGTGTTTCTTTAAAAAATTAACAGTAGTTGTCATGGCAAAGTCATGTATGAAGAAATAGAAGCAAAATATTACGATTTTAATGTTTTAGGATTAATTTAAAATATGAATGAAATACATATCTGTAGTAAATAAATAAAATCAGTATTGATACCAACAAATTCAGTACAGTCTACCAAAAAAGATGGTCAAGACATAAATTTTGACCACATACATCATTCGAGGCGTTAGCTTGCCAAAGCACGCGGCTGGCATTCAGACTGCAGATCCTTTCTTCGTTTCCACGATACATCCAGTGCATAGAAAGCAACATAATTCCTTTCATGTAACTTGCCTCAATCAGTGCAACCAATCTCATGATGCTGGTTATCAACTCCTTATTTGTTCTGTTGTTTGTCTTCATGCATGGTTTTTTATACAAGCAGAATAAAGACAGTTTGTCACTCGAGGTGTACCCAGGAAAAGTCATTATTTGTAAATGGAAGCTTGCAATAGACTTTTTGAATAGTGTAAAAAAAGCTGTAAAATAACTGGGACTATCAGATGGAGGAACTCAAGAGTCTGTTTCACCTCCTATCGTACATACCTGGAAATTATTTCTCAATTCCATCAGTCTCCCCCTGCTCTGCCCTGATAAAATAGCACCGTTACTATTGATGGTTTCTATAATCTGCAAGCTTACTAGCTGTAGCCATGCGATTCAGGAGGGGTGTATGAGCAGCTGGTGCAAGTTGAAGTCCATCTGTTGGGCAAGTAACTAGTGCATTTCGGCGCTCCACAATCCCCCGGCCGCAAACCAGGCGCTTCTCATCCAGAACAGCTAGATGGCATTCACAAAAATCAATCAGTGATGCCACTTGCTCAGGAAGTGGGAGTGACTTGTATTTTTTCTGAGCCAGGAAGAAGAAAGCTTCCACAAATGCTTGCCAACACATCCCTGCAAGGAAAAAGAGGGCACAGGAGATTCATGACACAATTCTCCAGAATACTACATTCTTTAAACTAAATATTTTTGTTTCTTCAGAAGCAGGTCCAAATGTGTATGTGACAGGGTATGTACTCATACAATCATGTTAGTTTACATCTTTTGATTTAAACAGTAGTCATCTAGGGCACTCATTAAGAAAAAAAAAAAAAGTATCTGTCCTTCAAAGACAAAAAGACAACATTTTCTCTGCATATGACACACAAGTCAGATCACACAGTGTTTCAGTACACCAGGTATGCCCAGGCCACTTTATAGATGGATCACATTCTCAATCAATGAGGCTATTCAGAAATAGAGATGGATTTCTGCAAACTGCAGCCTGGCATCCAGAAGAAAACTGCTACAGCAGCAACTGATGTTAAGGTATTGTATAATTAAATTGATGTAAGATCAGATATGATTTCTATTGCTGCAAGGTTAAGCTGAAACCAGATCAAATACATACTATCATATAGAGCTTGAGGGAATAAAATTCACCTCTGTAATGGGTTTTGTTCAGTGTTCCTTTCCGGCTGCTAAGACCGCAGTGTCTATGAATCTTTAGCCTTCTTTTTGGAGGCCAAAGAGGCAAGTTTTTTGTCAGTCACCTTGGAGACTTCAGTAAGGAAGGCAGTTTGCAGTAAAAGCTGGACTGGGCCTTTCTACACCTTCTTGCACAAACGATCTGCATTTTAAATAGCATCCAGCTACATGTTTTACTCCACCTTTACCCCATTCAGAAATCCTGTCTCTACACTTTTTGTAAATGTATTCAACCCTTGTATATGCAAAGTGCAACTTCTCATGGCATAGCCATCAATACTAACTAAAGAACGCTACTACGAATGGGAGATTGGGCACACTGGCCTTCCTCACAGGACAAATGCAAAAGTTGGAACCTGAAAGGTATTCACAGAAGGCTTATTTGATTCATGACATGTAATGGAGGGGGTCGCCAAATACTGGAATGGGTTTTATTTATCAGCAGCTCTCAGAGGTTTCCTACACATCCTCTTTCTTACTTCTTTATTCAAAACACTATCAATATAACCAGTCAGACATAGATTTATAGAAATGAATTGAAAATAAAAGTATCAATCTTGCAATATCAGAATTCTTGGATGAGATGGTAGACAAACAGTTGAAGCATGTTAGAAAGGAAAGCAGAGCGTTGCCCCCAAATTCTGCTATAGCAACACACTGTTCACACTGCCCCCTTCATGAACAAAAAGGACTCCACAGAAACCGAATGCAGCAGGATGGAATTCTTCAGATGTTGTTTGATCACATCATGCTAATAATATATTAAAACAGGTAGTGGAAACAGTGGCTGCATTTTAATGCTAATTATTGTATTTTCAACCTTTAAATAATACCCTGCTTAATTCTTAATCAAGAAGCCAGACCACAAAGCAGCTTTTTAGAATGCCAGCAACATGGAACAGTCATAGTAACTTTGTGTTTAACTCATTTATCCAGTTCGAACATCCACTTTAGAACATTATCTCAAGATGAGATATTGAAATATTTGGATTGTTTAACTTAATGCTGGTGTATTGATACTGCTGGAAAGACATGTTTTAATAATATTACAATTACATTCTGAAATATAATTGCTCTAAACTAAGAGTGCAGTTTGGGTCACTTTATGATTTTGGCTATAAAAGAGCTTGCAAAAAAATGTTGGTTTATCTGAAAGCAGCAGCTGCCAGCTCAATAAATATTTTATCAGTCATGGTGAGCTACAGGCAGAGACAGCACCTTTGGTAGCAAAAAAAAAGACACTCATGTGAAGCATTTAATGAAAAAGCTTGAAGCTGCTCTTTTATCACAAAAGTAATAGTTATTGTGTTGGTTAAAGCTAAAAGTGGGCCAAATACAAAGCCAAGCCACAGATACCTCGATAAGATTACATACTGGAATGTTACATTTTAGTAATGTTACATTTTAGTGTTGGGTTTTGATTCTTTCATCCCCCCCACACTTTTATTATTACCCAGAAAACATGTAGTTTATTGAGACTTAAAAGAAATCTTTTCAATTCTGGAAGCTCAGTTCCGGGCTTGAAGATTCATCTGCACGTCTATTGTTTTTGTCAGTGAAATTCTATCAACCAGCCTCTTAAATTACTTATGCCCATATTGAAATTCTAAATACAAATACACAAAATTTCCATAGGTGTCAGGTGTTCTGTGGGAAAAACAAACGAAAAACAAATCTAGCTAACTGCTATCTGCAGCACCTGGCAGCTTTTTCAGACCTGTGAAACTGAAGTGACTCTAACCTGCCTAAACTAGCACAGGAATTCCCACAATCAGCCACACTGTGTCCTGTGTGATAATGCATTCATTTTCTCCCTTCTAAACTTAGGAATGGATATATTATTTCCATCAGTCCTTTGAACAGTCTATTTTAATATTTTCCTTGTACCTTATCTGAATTCATATACACAACCTGATTCTTCTTCTATTTTAATCTTTCAAAAAAGACTCAGGAGTATATACATTGCTGTCTTTGTCCTTGTTTCCATCATCATATTAGACATTTAATACTAAGGAGATGGGTGGACTGGATTTTCTTTTTATTTTACTAAAGAATAAGCAAAATCTAAGCATTGGTTTATAACATAAGAACGTTTAACTATTAAAAATGATAATTAAGAAGGTTACTTACCCTTAAAGATTTGGATTTAAATCCTTCTGTATATCGCCAAGACAGTTGCAGTAAGTTACCTGCAGCACCTTGATAGGAACCCCCACCTCACTGCTCTATGAGGTTTATTATTGACAGTTTTTTTTTTTTTTTTTTTTTTTTTTTTTTTTTTTTTTTTATGAAACACAGCTCTTTATAAGTACAAGACTCAGGAACTAGCTTAATACCTGAGCATTGTGTGAGATTGCAGGAACCTATTATTCTTCCCTTAGCAGCCACAAAGGCAATGAAAATGAAAGTGAGGAGTATACTGATGGGGGGGAACTATCTGGAAATAAAGGAAAATACAGTAGTTTTGTTTGTCCCTTAAGTAACCTGTTTGGAAAATGGAGATAAAAAGATAAGGTTATTTATTTTTAGCTCCTGCATAGCTTGTTTGTTTCGCCAGACTGTGGAAGTTACTCTAATACAGACACATCTCCTTACACTGTGATTAAGTTAGAGGCTCTGCTAGGAATGTTTTCAAATGTTCCTCTGCAAACAGCACCAGGAATTATGAATGCAAAATAGCAAGCACAAAAAAGGGGCTTACAGAAGACTTTTCTGACAAACAAACTGAAAATTAAGGTGTCTATTCTGTACACAAAGGGAAACTGCCTTGGACCTAAACAGAAACATTTATCATACATAAACATGTGTCAGAGGCATGAACCTTGCTCCCTTTATTCGAACTGGAAGCTGGAGATGTGCTGGAACTACCAAAATACAGGAAAATCATGTTTTATTATCTTTAAATAAAAATACTGTTACCTGATTCTTTGTGATCAACTCCCATGTTGTTCCACCTTCTCGTGATATCAATGTATAGGATATCTACAGAAGCCATGGAAAAATTGCTGTTACTCAGCTTGCAGTTTCTGTTAAATATAGACAAAATAAAGAAAAATAGAGCCCGATTACTTTGGAACTTGCAAGTTAGGAAAAAATCTGTGAGGTCAATTGAGAGAACAATGAAAAAAAAATTATCCATGTCATCAACAGGAACATGCCAAGTCCAAAAAAAGTGTACAACAGATGCCAATCAAACCAGCATTTACTAGGCATAAGTGTCCAAAATGGTAAAAGCCCTGAATCAAATCATTCCCTGTATGTAACTAGTCTGGCCACCAGTTCAGATCACACAGAAACAATCCCTGCAAAAACATATCTCTGAGCATTCAGATCATATTCGTACATTCAATCTCAGGTCAATATCTAGCAACAGAAAGGAAGCAGATCATAGTATGGATTAACTGGTTTATCTTGGTTTGGCAATAAACAAACAAGAAAAAAGATTAGAATTGTGAATATTTCTATTAAAAATATGACTTGATTGACTGTTCCAGCTTTCACAGAGACTATTGTTATTCTTCTTTTTGAGGCCATAACAGAATGGAATGAATTGATACATTGCAAAAGCCAATACAAATCTGCACAGACTGTCTACATGAGGCAAAATTGTATTATAGTAATTTGACTGATACAATTGGTCTGAAAAAAGTTGGAGGAAAGCTTTCCGGCACAGAATCACTGCTGTATATTTGAATACTGAACAGAATTATCCTATGTGTTACTGAACACTGCATGAAAAACAGCAGTTCTCCCTCTTCCAGATGCATCTTAGGCATTTGGTGATAAGCACATGCCTAGGAGATCTGACACTTGCGTGGGCTGAGCCTGCAGTACAGCATTGATCAGGAGATGAGAATTATCCATCTATCCAGGATTTCCAGATGTCTGGCAGCCTGGCTGGAACTAGTGCACATGCCAAAGAGCTGGCCAAAATTTCTAGCCAGAAAAAAGGGTAATTCAGAGGAATCCTGGCCTTCAGGAGCCTAAGCAGACTGCCTTACCGCAGAGAAGAGTCAAGGTATGACCTAGACAGTCCTGACAACCTTAGGCGGCAGCCAAGCAAGAACGTGAGCCACATTTTGCACCATTCCCGTCTCACCAGCAGCTCATTCTTGAAAAAGCAGCAGCACACAGTTTAGAAAGATGATTTGATTTCTGCAATGAGTAATAAGGACAGCACTTCACAAGAGGGCCGTGCAGATGGTGAAAATCCTCTTTGGAAAAAAATATATATATTTGCCAATATTAAAAAACAAATACAAGGCCTCAGGAAACTGTAAACACCATTTCATTGATATATGCTATTTTAATAATATTAAAAGAAAATGCTGGCATTTATATTTTGCTCATCTAAAAAATGCCAAGTTAAGACTGGACTAAACAATAGTAAATTCAGAACTTGAAACAATCCTGCACTGATCTGTGGGAAACACAGATATATTTATAATTGTTTATAGTCATTCTCAAATGGTAAAGACCTCTACTTGAAAAAACAGATCTTTGTATTTTAAGAGTACATCTGCCTCTGCTTATTTCTTTTGTCATAGGCAGTGAAAGAAAATGAGATATCTTTACCTTGAAAGAAACAGATATATCCATAAAAAAAAAAAAAGTATATGAAAAAATAAATTGAATTTCTTGCCACTGCAAGTTGCAATTTCATGATGTAAATCCTTAGTGCACACTGCATCAGCAACTGGCATTAGGAAATGCTCTCTTCTGGCTTAGGGCAGAAGACTATGCCCTGCAGCTGGTAAACACAAATCTCAAATGGGCCAACCTCATTTGTCATTTATCTTAATTTTTAAATACTGATCTGGTTGTATTGCTAAGGCTCACCAGAAGCTTGACATATTGACAAGGATTGCAAACAGTATCTTCCAGTCGTTACTGATCTGCTGTAAAATGAAGAGCTGAGGGTACCTACTAGCTTCCTGGGTCACTTTATTCACCTTATTCTAAGTACCATGGAGCTTCTGCAAGATTAGACTCATTACCAAATACCAAGAGCATAGAAGGATGTTCTCCCTATCCTCGTGCTATTATTTTCCTCATTTATGATATCTAAGTTACATGTGTTTCCATAACCTGCCTCTCCTACACACAACTAAGAGGGTGAAGAAAACTCCTCATTTTGCCTATTCCCGCTGGATTCCGGCTACAAGGGTATTTAGCCTGAAGCTTTAAAGAGCTCTGGAGCATCTGTACATTTACAAAGCATCAGGCTATTTTCTAAGCTGGAACACAAATCCTCTGAACACAGGGTGTATCTCTTCCCAGCAAGACACAGGAACTTCATACAAATATCTGCCACAAAGCTCTGGCAGGACGTTCAGTGCCAGCACCAGGAGCTGGAGACTGGAACATACCTCAGCTGACGCAGACACCCCTACCCGCTCCATCATTGTTTATCAGCACCTGCCTGTATCAGCTTCTTATTTGCAAATTAATGAATCATCCTGAGGTTATGACACCATGGCAATTGCCACAATAGCTAATGCCAATTAAAAATGTATTTAGCAACTTTGTTACATGCTATTCTTATGCATTTTTTGAAAAAATTATTTACAGGGAGCTTGGAAAGAGAAATATATTTTCTTAGCTTTTATTTTATGGGCAGGCATAGTATATTTCAGGAGTAGGATACTATAAAGATACATTAAGACAATAGGCATGCAATTGACTTCCTCTGTCCCTTCTTGAGAAGCATAAATTAAAGAAAAGGTCTAACACCACTATGGTAAAAATAGAGTACCTCTGATTTTGTTTTCATGTACAAGTTTTATGTGTGGTTTTCAGAGGATAATAACTTTTCCTTTAATTATCTGCCTATTGGGAGAAACCTGTTAGCAAATTCCAACTACAAAACATGAAACTCACCAAAAACAGCTTTGAGAACTCAAATGAATCAGCTGCTATAAGTAAATGAACCATGAAGTCCTTTCACTTGGTGGAATGGTCAATGTAGAAACATGTTTTTAAACAAAATTCTGCACAGTCTCAATTATGCTACATTGTTATCAATTCTTCTTAGATCCTCTGTACTCTTTATCTAAGAGAACATTTGCTTGCTCAACCCCCTGACAGGATCCCTGAGACAATTCTTAGTTTGGGAAACCTTGACAATCTCAGCAATGTCATTGGCAATGTTGTGTGTCTACACGACTGTCAGTGGGGATGCTCCCTCGAGGTGCAGACAGGAACGCTCAGGCCCCAGACCCAGCTCGGGGCTGTCACACAGCGGTGCGCTGGTGGCACCGTGAGCCACCATAGTGCCAGTAGCTCCCATCACTCTAACACCACATGACAGGATTGGAGGAACTGCACAGCAAAAGCGTAATTATAAAACAGAATGCCTGTGTTATGCCCCCAAGCATTTACCTTGGGAACTTGCTGTGATAAAAATATATCAGTTTTACAAAAGATTGTACAGCAGTTCTTCTAAGGATCTTATGGGGAAGAGTTCCTTTAGAAGGGATTACTAAACATATGAGCTAAAAATATATCACTATCAGGACCTGATTCTATTCAACAAAACTTGAGGTAAGGAGGGCGACAGCAGCGCTACAGAATGGCTTTGGGTTTCTCCACTCTGTTACACTTCATGCAACTCAACGAAACCTTCCCGTCACTAACCTTATAAATGTTCGGAAACCTGTTGGCCCCAGCTTTGTTGTCCCTTTGACACCCAGAAATCGGATGAACAAGGCAGCCACTCTGTCCACGAGTCGCAGGTAGTTGAACTGCTTCGCGTACTTGGGAAACACCTGCTTGAGACACAGGGAGGGCAGCGCAGCCTCCGTGGTGGTGCTGACATCGTGCTCCGGCCTGGCTGGTGGTCCTGCATCCAACAGCTCTTCCTTTGCGTCGGCCACGTGCTCCAAAGTCTGAGGTCTGCAGCACAAGAAAGAGATTGTATCTTATAATCCTTGCTCTTGTAAGATTCAGTACTGTCATTTGGAAGCTTTTTGTTTTTTAATTATAAAACATACTGCACTTCTCCCCAAAAGTAAGAATGGATGGGAGTTCACCGCCACCCCCATGGTCACGCTGACCCGGCACGTTTGGTTTTACACAGACCTCTGGTTACCGTGTGCTAGAAAGAGGCCAACAATTACTGGTGCTCTTTTTATTTTTTTCCTTAAATCCACATAGTAAAATATTAAAACCTAAACATTTTTGTAAATGGGATTAGAAGAATCTCCTCAATGAAGGTTTTTAAAATAGCACTGAAAAAACATTCTTGAAATCAACCTTAGAAGCCAGTTAATCTGAAAAGTAAGTATTCTGGGCACCTTCAACATGCAGTGTAATTGCAAATCTGAAGAGCGGAGATGTAAATGACAGCAGCCTTCTAAAGTGAAGCTCAGAATCCCTCAAGCAAGTAAAAAATAAAGTTTAAATGCTTAAAAATTTTGCTGTGGATAAAAGGAGCACCTACTCAAATTCTTTTAAAGTAGGTGAAATGTTCAAGAAAAATCAATTCTCTCTAGATTGTTGGATGGTTTTCCTGTAGGAGAAAAGAGTAATTTTGCAGAGGTCACTGAATCTTGGAAAAATAAATAAAAGTAAATCATCTGTTTCTTTAAAAACAAAATAATAAAGTCATGATTCCTAGGTAGCTCTATAGCTGCTCTATGCATTTTATTATAGCTAGAATAATATAATTTCAGTAAAAAAAAAAAAAAAAAGCATAAGTAACATCATGACAGTCACTTTCCTACATCTCCAACCTATATTAAAAAGCATGAAGGAAAACAAATTCCAGTAACATTCACAAGCATTACTGTATACACAAATGCATACTGGCAGTATTGAGAAGACAATTTCTGCACAGTCCCATTATTTTTTGCTTGAAATCCTCTGTGCATACTGTCAAAATATATTATTTTCTTTCTGTCATTGTTGAATTCCCTAAGTAAAAGTTGACAGAGATAATGATGCTCTGAAATAAATGTTAGATGTTTATTCACCATGATACTTTTCCTTACTTTGGACATATCTAGAGAACATTAAAGAAAGTTTCTCTAAGTTCAGAAAGTCTGAGAGTGATGGTAATTATTTGGCACCCACTAAACATTCAGGTTGTCTTTTTGCAGTCATTTTTGTAAGTACCCACCATCCGGAATAAGTATAATTCACACTAGGCACTAAAAAAATCAGTGCTTTTTTACATTGCTCTTTTGTGTTCCTGAGCAGATTTAGTGTACTTCATAAAGTTCTGTTCCAGCAGAGAATAACAATCAACGTAATTACTATCCACCCACAGCACTGTAAAAATTATCCTGTCAAATATACAGTAAATCTGCACCTTCCAACTCATTTTCTCAAAGGCAGCAGATTTCCTCAGCCTTCCAATAACCATTCTGCAGTCAGTCATCCACAACAAATATCCCATGCTTTTTTTTAAGTTTTGCTTTTTTACTAAATTTCCCTGAAAGAGATTTACTCCATAGACATCCTAGGTCCCTTTTCAGTGCATAGTACTTCGAAGTAATACATTTACTTCTTGCCATGGGTTTGTTGCAAATAAATGTATGGAACTGTAAAATGATAAGGGCCCCTTACAGAAAAAAAAAATTGCAATAATTTTTTGGGAAAAAAAAGTGAGTTAAATTGGGATATCTAAGTTCTAAAAGATTTTTTTTTGAGTGATGTTTTCAACTCTCTTTGAACTTAGGTTCTCAATATACTCAGTCTGTCAGCTAAAATATATCGGTAAAAAAAAAATTCTTACTTCATGCACCTGAATTTTGTTCCTCCATTTAATTACCTAAAGATCTGATCCTGTGAGATAGAGGACACATCTGAAAACTCATTGACAGAGCATAGTTCAGGACGTAATTTCAATTGACTTTTTTCACATAAACTATAGTACTGAATGACTACATATATAAAGAAAGCACAGCAAAAGTAATCAGAATCACCACAAATTGCTGCTGACATAACAGGCCCTGGATCTTCTGAGGAAGCAAATTGGTTTAAAAGAGACTTTTCAGCCTTTCATTTGTCAACCCTTATCTTCAAAGAAATGTTAAACGGTAATGAAGAGAACACCCAAAACACAATGGCAAATGAATACTCTAGACGTATTGCTGCTGGGAATTGATGTATGCATACAGCTTCACAAAAAACACTATTTTCAGAAAGAATAATTGTGTAATTTCATCAATTATCTGTCTAGACCTTTTCTTTCCCCCTTCTCTCTCTTCCATTTCCCCAAACAGTTACTAAGACAAGTTTATTTATTAGGAAAGAGAGGTAGGACACCTAACAGAGTCTTTAAAACACGCTCGTCTCGACTGCTAACGCTGCTGCTCGTGAAGCCACGGGTGAAGCGTTTCCCCGTAGAACAGAGATAGGGCAGCAGTTGTTGGCTGGAAAATTGAAATTGGCAGCGTTATCTTCTACCTTGTGGTGGCTGAAAACATCCTGTGTGTACCCGATCCCCTGGACATTCAGGGCAGAGGCTTGTAAATGCAGAAATAGAATTAGTCTATTGACTCTAAGAACTTTCTGGACAAATACCTAAATCAGGCTGTGTTTGGCTGCTATTACATATAGGGCCAAGCACGAAGTGGTGCAAAAAACACAGTAGATTCCATCTGCCTGCAAGAGAAATATAAATTACTGCATCGAAGGTGCATTCAAAAAGGTGCAGCAGAGGCTCTACGGTGTCACCTAGTATTTTTTTCTTCCCCTGTTCTATGGAGAAAAACCCACAGCTTCCTTGATACCGCAGGTAAAAACACAAAACCAGTATCCCACTTCACATCTGCATTGGAATAGCTCTTAAAACTGTATGACTTTTTCAAAAGTATTTTTCAAACAAAAGCAGCTTTTTGGAATGTTAATTTAATGTCTTTTCCTTTCCACTTAAATATTTTATAGGATTTGATAATGTATAAATTATAACAAGAAAACTTAATCCTAATTTTTATTGCCAAATCTTAGACTTCCATTAAATTAAAAAGAGAATATAGTTCTTAAATTGCTTTTACTGGTTTCTGCTTTTACAAAGTTTAATATTGCACTTTCATTCTTTAGCTTTTTTCCCCATCAAGATTTTCTAACATGCTACAGACCTTAATTAATTTGATCACATAATTTCTATTAAAATTATATTCTCCACTGTTAATGACTGCAAGCCTTTCAAAAACAAGCCCATGTAAGACCTTGTCCATATCTGGGAACTGAACTGACATAGACTTGACTATTCCGCATGCTCACCTTAACTGGAAGCACTTACATCGAGGGTAATATTCAGAGTCCATTTCCCCACTGCTACCACGGACAGTAATAAAAGTTTCAATAAAAGTTTATTTTCTGTAGCTCTGTTCAACTCACTTGTACAGACCAAACTCAGTGTGGTCTCAGCACAACTAATTAAGAAAAACTGCCAAGCTAGGAATATTACAACTAGACTCGGTGTCTATAAAAACAGAATTTTACTGTGATCTGCACATTTTTGCAAGGAAACAGTGCGCAACATATTTTTTCCCCCCACTGCTAGATAAATTACACTCCCTTGCAATGCACCATTACATTTTTTTCTATATTTCAGCTGCCATCTGCCATCTACACACCATAAGGGTAACTGGATGACATAACTCCCAAGGGGTCATCATATAAAGGCTGGCTCAAGCATTGTCAGTAAAGCGCAGAGCAGAAATAGAACTTGAAGAACAGCAGCAGTGAAAGTTTACAGGGAATTTTCACCTCCGTTTATACCATTAATTCATCAGTCAACTGGACGATATAGGAGTACACATTTCTGCAGTGTTACCTTTCAGACACTTAAGACTTAAAAAAAAAAAAAAAAAAAAAAAAAAAAAAAAAAAAAAAAAAAAACTCCTATGGAATATTTACTATCCATTTTTTCCTACTCCACCAACCTTTTATGTATAATCTCACTTGGAGCTTCATCTTGGGTGTCCCTGCCGGAACCACGGGGTTTAGTCCTAGCCTCTCTCCAAACCTTGGAGCAGGTTTGTGGCCAAGCGCTGCAGCTCAATCGTGGTGGGGGAATCAGAAACTGCAAGATGATGAAACAAATCTCCAGCAATAAAACTTGCAAAGATTCTCTCTCCATTAGCTCCTTTCTCATGGGCTTTTCAGCAGGCAAAGGGAGCAGAAGAAAGCTGAGCCCCATGCTTTAAAGTTGCTACTCAGAATTAATTGTTTTGACTGACAGAGCTGAGTCAAGCTAAATGAATGAAAGGTCAAATATAAGGTAATGCTCTTGGTGCCACACAAAATAAAAGCAATGTTTAATTTGCATACTGATGTCTGACCTCAATACATTAATTCCTCTAATTCGGCCACTGAAGACAGATCTTTTTTTAGAAATAATCAACTGTGGGGAAACTATTAACCACATCTTTAAAAAAGGAATTTCAATTTTAATAAAACTTATGGAAACAACATCTAAGACCACTTATCTTTTATTCATAATTACAAATGTATTATTTTTTTCCATGTATGTTATATCCGTTTCTTTCAGACTAGCCTTAATCTTTATGCAAATACAAGCTGCTAAGGGACAAACAAATTTGCCACTATTAATTAACGGCTTCAGCAATCACAACATTTTGTATACTTGTATATAAATTTCAGCTGTCAAGTTGGGAGTAAAACTGGGTAAGAACTGTGATATTAATACACGAATGGTTGCTTGGTATATTTAATGTTTAGGGCATTGCTAGAAGTAGTATTAAGCAATTTTTGTATCAGCTGACAGCTGCTTACCTAAGAAAAGAAAATATTATTTTCTGGATACTGAAGCTATAATTATTCCCTCAGCTGAGTCTCTATTCTCAAAGCAAGGAGTATGTTAACACAGTCAAGAACACAGAAGATTTTGCATGACAAATCTATCCTCCCATTCACCAGCA